TCTGCTCCGAAAGAATGATACATGAATATGCTTTTTAAAAAACATGTTAATGGTAGCATGCAATGAAGCAATTTACATATGGTATAATGTAAATGTTTATTTTATACAATTCTGTCGTGCTTAATTCAAAACATTCCCTCGGGCAAATTATGGCTGTGTATTATCCCATACAAGGAACAGAACGCGCATTATGTGCAACCTCATCTGTTCCAAATGCCAACAAACACTAATCACAGCAGACTTTGCTCAGGGTAAACAGGGCTTGCACGGCACATACAAAGCAATATACTCTAATCATGAATCGATGAATTTCATACACGCACTAATTAAGCTGCCATCGAAACTCATGTATTTAATACCAACATCGATTGGTAAACTTAAGCAAATCAATATGTTTAATTAACAAACCAATTTATTAGAGGAAAAACAAACCCGTCTGTTAGTCAATGCAATCAATAGAGTAAAAGCCAAGGCAGTGTGTAAAACACATCATATATTTGAGTCTTGGCTTGTTACATGCCTTGCTTGGCTTCAGAAGAGAATTAAAATCTTTAATTCAAACTAGGACCACCATGAAGGAGTATTTCCTGCAAGCCATTATCAGGCTGTCATTGAATGCAGCCTCCACAATACTGGCAAGAGCTCACTCTGCTTTCACACCAACATCTTCAAGGCACCAGGATAATTTGGCAAATCACCCACCACTTGCTCACATGACAGACTTCTCAGTATGTCCATAGATGTAATTGCTGGCCATTTCTTAACTGTAGATGAGCACCATGAGCCTGGGAAAGCAAGGTTCGAATGAGGTCTGTAGAGCCTGATCTGTAGACCAACTCTGAAAAATGCACACAACAATATGCTGTTGGGAGGTTCTGCTTCTCTTGAATGCCTTTGGTTCAAGGTCTCTTTCTGCACTTTCCAGCATCCCCCCCCCTACTTTAACACAAGCTATCAATTTTTACAGAACTATATGGCCAAATAAGCAGAGGGAATTTCTCTGTTTGGGCAAGATTGGAAGTTGCAGATGTCTCTGATGAATGAATTATTAGATAACCTCTTTCCCGTTTTAGTGATGCTCTTTGCAATATTAGTAAATTTTGCTGTTCAATTTCTTTCCTCTTACTAGCACTGAATATGCGAAGAGTGACCTCTCAGAACTGCCTTGAAGGCTCCCCAAAGAAAGGGGAAGATGCTGAAGGGGAATTATTTCAAAGCAAAATTGCTCTTGCCAGCAAGAGGAGGGGGGTGGAAAATATATCTATGAAGTCGGAAATTCCTAGTAGAGCAGCATTAAGTCTCCTTGACTTCAACATCTCTCTTCTTTTGCATTCTGGTCCAATTTCCTAAGGAGCACAAAATGATCTGAAAAAGTCCTGCATAAATAATTGATTTCTTTGATATGAAATTCATCCTGCATGCTGCAGTTCTGTGTTGGATTCTATGGTATTGACACTGTATTCTTAGCCTCATCTTGTTCATAGTGATGGTGCTGACATCCCTAAATAGGGTGATGTTCAGAAACTGAATTTTGGATATATTTCTCCCAGGTGTATTTTCATAAAGATTCCAGACTGCACCACAAACAGGGTCAAATTGAATCTGATATGTGTCAAATATTCAAAATATTTAGTTCTCTCCATTGTTCTTTGCTCCCTTGTGAGAACTGCACTGGCTACCTGTATGCTACAGGGCTGGGTTTAAGACCTTGCTGGTAGAAATAGAACTCAAAATTAAGGGTGGGGATCTCCGACCTAGGAGCCAGATGCAGCTCTTCAAGCTTCTCTATAAGGCCCTCAAGACCCTTCCCAGGCCACAACCTTTCTGAAAGTTATATGACCCCCCTGCCCCCAGCATTCACTCCTTAGTGCTTTTGCCTGACTGGTGCATGTCCTTAAACTGTGATAATGCCTCTTGATTGCCTAGATGGAGGATGAAGAGATGTGCAGAAACCTCTGATTTAACTGTGGCTGGATTTACCCTATTTTGAATTCATTGCTTTGCCCATTTTGCCTCTGACTCTGCCCACCACGGGCATGTGATCAATTAAAGGTTGCCCACAAGCTTTAGATGTTTGCCTGAAATGTTCTTATTCACACAAACTTCTCTTGTAGTGTGTGTGAATGGCTGAGCCATGATGTCCATGCTACCAAAAATGTCTTACTATTTATTTCCCCTGTTTTATTTTGCACCTGCTTTCAAGTCTTAACACGTAAACCAGTTGGGTATTTCGTATGTTGAGCCGTAAATAAATCCCAACAAACAAACAAACATTGGGAAAAGTTTCACAAGAGATCTGAAGCTTAGCATAAAGTATTGGGTCTCTGCATTCATGGTGGATCATGGGGAAATCTCAAGTTATCTCTGCATTTTGGAATGAACCTACCCATTCTGCATACACCCTCAGACCAATGTGTGGATCAGAACATAAATAAGCACAGCATGGATCTATGCACAGGTAGGTCCACTCATTATCATTTTCTTATGAAGTGGTCTTGGGGGCGCCTTATTATTTGTTTGACATTTTACTTATGGAAGATTACTCTCAACAATCAGTTGGAGTTGTACTTGCTCCACCCCAATAAGGGGGGAAGCTTACATGACTTACTCCCAAGAGGAGTGGGTGAAGGACTCCACCACATGGCCTTCAGGAGACCTTTTGATGTACCTTTTATTTGCCTGATTTGCATGGCTTCTGGTGGTCTGGGTTATTATTTGGCTGGTTTGTTTGGCATGTAGTGCAGGCAGGTAAATGGTTGGTCAGCATCATGAGGCAAGTTGGGTAGAGAGCACTTCACTAACCTTTTCCTATTGGCAGCCAGCTCAGGGAGGGGCTGTTTGGTTTGGTGCATTTTGGGTCTGGTAGTTGAGCACTGAACATCAGAGGTGGCTGACACCTGTTAGGTAACTAGGGATGAAAAAAGGAATCATTTTCTGTTAAAGCTTGCATTTGTCTAATGTAGGAATGTTTCTATTCCACTACAGTTTCTCTTCTACCCCAAACTATGTTTTTCATCTCATTGGCCTCTGCAGGGAAATTATGTAATTCATGTAAATGATGTAAGTTACCTAATTACCTAATTACATAATTAATTACGTAATATTCCATGTATAAGACTAGTTTTTGTGTTTTGTTTTACTTTAAAATAAGGTTAAAAAATCTGGGGGCGCCTTATACATGGATAGTGCATATGCCTATTTTCTAAATTTGGGCTCCTCAAAAGTTGGGGGCGTCTTATACATGGGGCGTCTTATACATGGAAAAATACGATAAATGAATTACAGTGTCAAGTTATTTTATCAGAGCAAAGGAAACACAATCCAAATTGGGTGGGGGCATAATCAATTATGAAAGCAACAACAGGAGTGAATACTCTTCATATTTGCTGGATTGATTTCTGTTCCATACATGGGGTGAATGAGCAAACATTGGAAACTTCCAGTCCCATTTCTATTTTGGTCAAAATTCTCCAACAGGTAATACACCTTTGGCTTCCCTTTGTGGGGAGATAGCTATTTGCCTCCCATCACACCAACTTGGTTGATGACATTTATTTAGGGTGATTTGACCATTATCTAAAGGCAGGTGATTTGCTCACTGCCCATATAAGTTTTACCTGCCTTTACTTTGCACAAGTTTTCCTTGGTATCTTTTAATAAATAAAACCTTTCTACACGTTTCTCTTATGGGGCATTCAGTCTGGGTGTAGGGCAAGTTAATATCTCTTACATGGCTGCATTGCAAAAATAATAATGATCTGTGTAAAAAAGCACCCACAAAGCAGCTGTTTGTCATAACATGCAGCCCCTTCCTGGGGAAAAATGTGGAGAAAAATATGACTGCTCCCATGTACCTATTATGTGAATTCAAATGGTAGCCTTCTGTTTTTCTTCTAGCTAAGCAGAAGATCTTATTTTGATCCTTGTTTGGAAGATGAAGCAAAGGAAAAGTTCCGTTAAGGCAGTGTTTATTGACCTTGAGAAAGGTGAAGCTCTCAATAAATTAAATTGAAAGAAGAAATTCAGCAGAGCATATCAGATGTTTTGCATCTTTCTTTTTAAACAATTCAACTAATGTGTAAACTGTTTTGCTAGGAGTCATTTTCCAGGGCAGCTCCATTTAATTGTCAATAGTCTGACAGTAAAAAGTTTTAGCTAGTTCCAGTTCGCAGTGTTAATTTTCACATTCTTTGGTCCCATGTTTCAGATTCAGTTTGAAGAAATTTGAACAAGAAGCTCTCTGGCAAAGGGTTATTCAGATATTCAACTTGGAACTGATATAGCATAATAAGCCAGTTGCCATTGATAGCCATGAATTTGCCTTATCCTATTTTAGAGCCATCCAACATAGGAGCCTGACTTATACTGAGTCAGATTGTCCATCTAGATCAGTATTGTCTACAATGGCAGCAGTTCTCTAGGATTCCAGACAGGGTTCTCTTCTCTCTGCCTTACCTGGAGATGCTGGGGATTAACCTAGGACCCTCTGCATGCAAAACACTTGCCCTACCACTGATTTGCAGCCCTTCCCTGATTTATGATTGCACACATATGAAATGGTACGGTAATGGACTAATGTTTGCATACGTATATTTTCTAAACCAGCCCCCTTTCCCTTTCATTGATCAGTGTGAATTCAAAATGAAATATTTGAGAAGAAAGGGAAAGGGATAACAATAAAACCAGACTAAAATACAATGGCCGTAATCTGCCCATTGTTACATCAACAGAACTCTCCAATGGCTTCAAGAAGTTCTAAGAACTCTGGGGCTGGGTACCCAATCATTGTGAAATGTTTTCAGACTTAGATATTTTAAAACTAATTCATGCCTGTAATTGCCATGCTTCCAAGTGGAAATCTCTCTCTTTTTTGTATTTAGTTTTATCTATTATAATTAATACTGCTTGAATAAACAAATGTGAAGAAAAAATGGCATTGCGTGAGAATTAGGAATTATGTAGAAAGGATTACCACATGTTCAGTCCTCCACTTATAGACTGAACAGACAGTCCACCCCAACTCCCCACTTTTCTCAAGCCAGTAGCAGAAAGAAAAGGGGGGGGAAACACCATTAAGAGTTCAGCCTACCACTTGGTTAAACAGCAATCTGTGGATGGAAGCTAAGGGAACCAGGTGGCTTAAATGTTATTTGAGTAGCACAATTTTTTAGCTGGTTGTGGTTGGTCAGACTGTGATATTATGGCATCCGCAGGTATGGCTGGGAAAGATTTCTTGTAAGAAACAGTAGACAGCTGCTGCCAGTCGGTGTAGAAAATACTGAGCCAGATGGGCCATTGTTCTGGCTCAACATAAAGTAACTTTCTATGACATATGTTCTCTGTGCTGTGAGCTTGAAGAGCCATGTCCAAATTCCTCCTAAGCAACAAAGCTGAATGGGTAATTATGGGCCAGTCACCAGCTCTTATCCCAGCCTAGGCTCACAGGGGTGTTGGGAGGATAACCGGAGGACAAGCTTGTAAATTGTCCCAAGTTCTTTAGAGGAAGGGTGGGTTAATCATTTTAATACCAGTAGTAGTGTCAGCATTTCTGCCCCTCCTTTCAGGGTGAAACCTCCAAGGCAGGTTGCCACACACAAACACACACACACACCCTCATAAAACACACTGAAATATATTATTATTATTATTATTATTATTATTATTATTATTATTATTATTTGAATTCATATCCTGCCCTATACTCAGAGATCTCAGGGCAGTTCACAGATAAGAACCAATTCATTAATAACCATATACTCCAGAAATAGATAAGGGATTTTCCTAATGTGCAGCCCTGTACCAAAATGAGCACTCACACTTTACATTGTGGGTGCCCTTTGCAGGATTGCATATGGTGTGCTGGCTTGCCTCTCATTGTTAATTTCTGGAGGTTCACGCCCAGCCTCAGTAACCTTCTTGCTGCAAGGTGGGCCAGCCTCATTTATAAATAGGGGGTGGAGCCGACAACAGCTTTCCTTTGTTTAATCTTTCTTGTTTGCAAGTTAACTTTTTCTTCCTGTTTAGCTATGGTCTTTGACTAGTTGCTGTAGAAGGACTGGGAAGAAATTTTCCTGCATTGGCAGGTTTTGTCTTCCCCGTAGCAATTCGTCACAACTTTGGTGGTTATAGCCTTAGGTGGAATCCTTTAGTCCCCCTGCAGCATTGTTTCCAGGGTCCCCCTCTTAAAGGGGTTACATATATGGGTGTCGCTGGTCATACACTGAAAGGTTGTCAGTGAATGACCCTGCATGCGGGGTATGGGCTTGGCTGTCTGCTACACTTACATCTTGCAGAGCATCCCCATATCCCATTTACCCTGATGAGCCCCAGTTCCCCCCGGATGGGGGGCTGGGAGGGATACATGCCCAAGACCTAAGCCAAGGTCTTCAGAAGTTTAATAAAGTTGTGGCCTAATTTTGATTCCATATAACATTGCCAGAGTCTTTATTCCTTCCTTATGATCCCTGGGGGCTGGGGCTGTCGCCGCCTGGTCATGCAATGTGCAGCTCTTTAAGCCAATTTGTCAAGTCTAATGATAACTTTTACAGTTCTCAATCAGTACTCAAATAAAGAATGAAGATAAAGAAAGGTATTTACTCAACAAATGTCTGGTAACAGCACATACCATTTGTGTGGTTTGTTGGTGTGTGTGTTCTTTTCTTCCTTGTAATCCTCAAAATGCCTTGACTTTCTTCTTGGGCTGGCTTCGTACTGAGAAATGTCATTCAAATTCTGAAATAATTGTGATGTTCTAGAAATTTAATATATGCTATGAAGTTCTTAATGTACTGTGACAAAAGGCATAGGAAGATGTGGGGTAGCAAGAAATATTTGAGGGGAGTGATGGCTACCCAGTGGATTATTCCCTGGACCTGGTATAAAGTAGGAATCAGTCAGAAAATGAAAGCTCTCCAATTGCTTAACATGTTTTCTTGTTTTCTGTATTAGCATTGTCAAATTCCCATCTCTGTGGATTTTCTCCCACTCACTGTAGGCTTCCAAATGTCATGAATTGTGACTCAACACAACAGAGTATATGTGTGCACAGAAGGAAAAGGCACATGTGCATTGTGGCAGTGCATAGGGAGAGAAGATCACATCCCACAGCACATTAACACAGATGGTGGGGAGACCCCAAAACAGATACTATTCTGATAAAAGTAAGTGTGTATGCTTATCCTTGCCAGTTATCTCACTTCCTTTTCAGAAGTTTGAAAAGCAGGAGCAAGTTTAGTGATTAGTGAGTCACTGAGTACCCCCAACACTATTTTCCTTATATCTCTGTCTCCACACTTAAATGGCCAAGGTACATACTTTTTAAAATGAAAAGTGAAAATTCAGAGAATGGAGCCTGACTATCCCGGGGGGTGGGGTGGGGGTGGACTTCTGAATGTCACTTTGTGACTGCAGCCCTGAGCTGCAAACAGCATTGTCTCTTCCTCAGTTAGCCCATCATGCATGTAAATCCAGGTTGTTGGTCTTTTTGGTGGGACCCATATTGTCTTCCTGCTCTGGCTCTCATTTCGTGGGACTGATGCAATTGTTTGATCTGTATCCTTCACATGCTTTCAGTGGAGAGAAAAACAAAAAAGCCACATTTGTTTTCCATTAAGGAAACAAAAGGCAAGAATTCACACAATGTGTTTCTTACCAGGCTGTATCTAAAAAGTGTAAATGTGTTTTCCTCAAGGTCACTGAGCCAAAAAATGAGCTAAGTTTTTCAAAGTCACAGAAAAGACTGTGCTTTGAAGATTATACCCCCATCCAGGTCACCTTCCTCCATCATACAGGGTCATCAGGAAAGATGAAACAGCAACCCTCAAGTTCCAAGCACATATGGGGCCACCTCCATAATACATGCTTAGGACACTAGGAAAGCACCCAAAAAGTCTGTAGTGCTGTTTTGCACACACCGATCTCTACTGTGTGGAAGCAGAGGCTCTACCATTTTCTTTCTTCCAACCAAGGGGGAAAATCTTCTCTGTGTTTCCAATGTACAAGTGGAGATTTCTCTGGAAGCTGCTTTGGTCATGATGGAAAATGTAACCACTCTATTGAAACTTGGAACTTGCACTGGGAGGGTTTGGAATTTGGAAATGTCACAAGTTTATTTATCATGTTCCTATTTCCCCTCCAGGCAAAATGCAAAAGCTAAAAGTGAGAGGCATCTGAAGGGTCATCACCAGTACCCATGATCTGCAGGAAAAAGACTGGACCCACGTTTTCTAGCAAGGTTCACTTGTGCTGATTAAAATCCTAGTCCCACCAGCACTTACCCTGTTTCTGTCCTACTGCCTGAAAGCAGAGGCTGTATCTAGGAACTTGTGCACCATTTTCACTTTTGTACAATTTCCTGGAAGCCTGAAGTAGCATCATTCTGGAGGTAGTGTGGGAAATATAAATAGTGGCCAGCTTCTCAAGACCCAGACTTTGCTGCCAAAGAAGCCCATGGTGGTTGAGCTCGCAGAAAGGCGGAATGGCATTCTGACTCTGAAGCAGAACCTCTTTTTTTTTATTTCCTGAATTAACATTTATATAGTAATCACGCACAAACACAAAGCTGGTGATGGTTGAAATGGATGCCCAGTCCCCTGAGGTCTCACTGTATGCAGGACAAAATAACAATGTACAAAAAGATTGAGAAAACTCAGGGTATTATTTTCTTGTTTTCAGTTTTAATCCATAAAAGCTGACAGAGAGAACCCTGGGATCTTGGCAGCTGACAGTTGATCACAGAGGTTGACTCTGCACTTGGACTGGTCTTGTATTGAAGACTTCTTTATACTCATGGGCAGCTGTACTTTGCTTATTATACCAGGGCATTGCCATGCTGTTTGAATATTAAAAGTTCCAAAACAGAAATATTCATTCATTCATTCATCATTCATTCATTCATTCATTCCATTTCTACTCCACCTTTTTTTCACAAGGAGGTTCAGATGACATACACATTTTTCCTGCTCCATGTTTTATCCTCACAACAACCCTGTGAAGTAGGTTTGGCTGAGAGATGGTGACTGGCTCCAAGTCACCCAAGGTGTTTCATGTCCAAGTGAGAATTTGAGCCCTGGCACTCTATTAGGGTTGCCATATGTCCTCTTTTTCATCAAGCAATCCATAGTTAAAAGTAGAAGTTGGCAAATGTGTCCTCTTTTTTGATCTTCAAAATATGGTAACCCTACACTCTAACCCCTATACCACATCAGTTCCAAGCATTGTACATGCCACTAGTTCTGACTTTATATAATAAGAAATGTGCTTTTTTATTCAAAGTTCAAATTGCTGACTCTCTTTTACTGGGATACTCTTTCTCTTTCTTAATGCACGTATTTGTGTGTGTGTGTGTGTGTGTGTGTGTGCGTGTGCGCGCGCGTGCACACCCACACATACACCCACACACCAATTACATAACTTTATTGAAACTGGTCGTGTTCATGTTGTATGCACCCAGAGGCCAGATTTATTGCAATTTCCTTGAATCAATGGGTGGTATCTTTGATTTATTATCTTATGTATTAGATTCAGCAGATGATGTATCTAATTCAGTAGGTGATGTTTCTGGTTCAAAAGGTGATGCATCTAATTCAGGTGATAGATCTGGGCTCAGTGAGGTAATATATCTTATTCAGCAGGTGATATACCCCCATTCCTTCTATGATCTATCGGATGTACTAAGTGATATATGGAATTCAGCTAGTAATATATCTCGTTCAGTGTATGATCTGTCTCCTCAATGAGTAATTCATTTTCTTGAAATGATTACGGCTTTGGTGTGAGATGTAAAATGTAATCATGTGTAGTAGCTTATTTCTGCCTACAATATCTGTTATTGCATTGCATATTAATGGTGAATATTCAGAAATGACTGCGGCTGAAGACAGAGATACTTTTCAGTATCGGACTTCATCTCACAATAATTGCATTGTTTGGAAGCCCAGGGAAGTATGCTGAAAGAGCTAACAAGTACTGAAATAAGTAGAACAAATGGATATGTCTGCAGGTATATTTCAAAAGGTATTTTCTGCAGAGCTGAAATTTCTTAGAAGATATTATAATCCAAGAAATGTTCTGATATTTTTCCTTTTCTCACCTCCTTAGAAAAAGAAGGCCACTTTGCAGAATTTTCTCCAAATACTTCCCATCACTCTTTTTGTGTTGGCCCCTGTCCTATAATCATGCTAGATCTGGGGCACAGTTGAGGATGCAAAATGGTGGCCAAGTCACCAGAAAGGTAACTGCTGCCATGTATAGATACATGCTGCAAGAAAACATTGGGGTATAGGGGGAAGAAGGAAATAAGCTACTCTAGTAGCTTGAGCACCCCCAGGAAAAAAAGCACTGGTCCTACCTATGTATTAGGGCTCCAGTTGCTGCCCAGAGATGACACATGCTGACACCAGGCCTGACAACCACAGAATATCAGGCAGTAACCAGCTGGAATTCATGGTCACCAGTGTGCCTGCTGTCATGTGCTATGATGCCCAGAAAATGTCTCAGAAAATATACCCTCAAAAATCTAGAATGCACAAGAGACAGTTTGTTCTTTCTGCTCAGTTTCTGCTTGCACTGATTCAGCTTCTCCTACACTAAACATGCCTCTTTAAATATGCATGTTTCATTGGATGCCAGGATTGGACATCCACCCCTCACTCCCATTCTAAGTGAAGGGGTTCTCCCTGTGATTGACTGCAGGAGTGGCTGCCTTTCTTTCCATCAATGTTCACCTTGCTATGCTTTCCTGTTCTTTGAGATGTGACAGTCAGTTATGCCACACAACTCGCTGCATCCATTTCATTTTATGAGACACACCCCACAACACAGCCATTTTGTGACTGGTGCCCCTCAACATTTCCTCAAAATTTCACATGTGCCCACTGTCCCAGAAAAGATTGTGGACCTTGGCTTAACCATGATGGCTATGCTCTACCTCCACAGTTGGAGGCAGCAATGCATCATAATATCAGTGGCTGGAAACCACAGGAGGGGATAGTGCTCTTGTGTTTGCAGGTTTCCCACAGGCATCTGATTGGTCACTGTGAGAACATGTTGCTGGACTCAATGGGCCATTGGCTATTCTTATGTTCTTATGATAACCTGCATTCATGTCTTCTGTGGGTCCAAGATAAGAAAATTTCAAGGTGTCATTCTGAAGTTTAGCTAACCATACTGTAGCTCTGTCTCCCTTTTCTGGCATTCCTTAGGTGCTTAGCTGCAATAGTGTTGACAAAAAAATAATTTAAAAAATGAGGAAAGAATGAGGAAAGAATCCTAAGAAGCTGCAAACTACTTGTATATTTCTTTGAACACTATTGTCTTAATCCTGTCACTTTCTCACTGCTATTGTGTATGACAATGAGAGAACAACGGCACAATATTCACCTGATAAATTGAAATAAACATATTACTTTCTAACTCTGCTGATTTGAGGGGAATATATAAAATGCAGCACCTCTCAAAACTGACCAGCTAGCTGATGAGATAAACTTTAGGTGTCACTTGTGAAGTGGTTGATACTTAAATACTTTCCTGTCTTTGGGTATAACTTCTTAAGTTCTTTTAAAGAAAACCCTGATTTTTGAATAAACAAGGTTTGAACTTTTAATATAATTTATAATAATTCCTTAGAAGATTAAGCTTGTTAAGACTCTTAGCTTTTAAATTCTAAAAATACAGTCTTTAAATAAGCTTGTCTTTGCTGACCTGTCACCTTTCAGTTCTTTGCAAAAGAACTTTGATTAAAGACAGCATTAGCTAAGCCTTTTCTTTAAATGGTTGGGGGGGGCATTTAAATAGGTCATCTCTTCTCCCCCCTCTTCCCACTACCAGGCCTTTGCTACTGAAGTCAATGTCTTTGCTTTTATACTTTTATATTATCTTATTACCTTAAAAAATAAAATAAAGTCATCCTGGATTTGATGAAACTCAGTCTTTGCTAACCCTTAAGTTGCAAAGAAAGTTAAATGTGGCTTCCAGGTTGGTTTTTGAAATGATATGCAAGAATCAGGAGCAGATGATGTGGTGAGGTGGTAGGTCACATAGGTGCTGCTTACCAAAATATAGAGGTAGAGTGGGAGGTGCAAAAAGGCAGTGAGGTCAGTGCAATGCAAATGCACCAGCTGAGCCAATCTGGGGCTCCTGGTGGTGCATTTGCACTGCTCTAACCTTGTGGCTACCTTGCCCTTCTACCGCTACCTCTCCGTAAGCAGCAGCAATACTATTGGAGGCCAGGTGAGTGCCACTGCCACAGCACGCCATCTGCTACTGCTCATAGGATTTAATATCATGCAGACTAGGGTTTAACATTTTTATTATTATTATTTCCTCGGATCACAGGGCAGTTTACAGTGTAAAAACAGAAAAATACATAACATAAAAACAAACAAAATAATCACACACACACACACACACACACACACACACACCCCAGAGTTTAAAAAGTAGCAGATTGTTTAATTAGCCATAGGATTGCAATTTTCACCTTATAATTATGATGGATCCTCAATATTGGAACATTCAAGGCAAACAAAGGGAGATACTTACCCTAACAGTGCATAGCTAAACTATGGAATTCACCCTCACTAGATGTGTGATGGTCACCAGCCTAGATGGCTTTCAAAGAGGGTTCAGCAAATTCATGGGGAGCATGGAGAGCACCATGTCATATCATAGTGATCACTAGACCTCTCTTTTTCTTCCACTTCTTTAGCGATCACTTGTAGCCAAGTAAGGTTGTCTTCCATGAAGATGGCCTAAATGGTGTGTCCATAAGTGACTGTGGAGGCCAATTCTGAAACCACACGTCCTTCTACAGTGGAGACATAGGTTTCCAGGAGGGAGTTGATCATGGTAAGGATTTGCCAAACATGCCTTCCTCTTAGCATGTTTCTCCCTTTCATCCCGAGTTCATGCTTCTTCAAAGTCCATGGCGCCTTTGGTAGAGGCTCACCGGCCAGTGTTTCCCAGTTATCAGTGCTTATACTGCATTATTTTTTTAGATTTGCCTTGAGAGAGTCTTTAAACCTCTTTGGTTGTCCTCCTGCATTTCTTTTTCCATTCTTAAGTTGGGAACAGAGTAGCTGCTTTGGAAGACAATAAGCAGGCATCTGAACAACATGACCAGTCCAACTACACCAAAGAATGCTAATAAAGGCACCAGAAAATATTTTTCTCATCAAACCATTTCACAATACCACTCAGACTCAAAGACCTATTGAAGATGGCAACTTCACTCCAAGTGACCATGCCTTCCCATTAATCACTCCTGTTGAATGGCTTCTTTTACCTCTCTGTTGGAGGCAGTATCCTTCTGAATACCAATTGCTGGGAATCACAACTGGGGAAACTGTTGTTGCATTCATGTGGGGCTTGTGGATTTCCCTGAGGCAGTTGGTTGACCACTGCGTGAACAAGATCCTGGACTAGACAGGCCTTTGGGAAATCCAGCAGGGCTTCTATTATGTTCTGAAACATATATACAGGAACTTGGATGTAGATCCCATGTGATTACCACTTTCCCATTGCCTGTATTTGTGTTTCACCACTGTTGCTGCAGAAGTGGGAGCTGCAGTGTTAAAAACAAAACAAAAGGAAAATCTATGAAGAGAGGTGCTAAATTAAAATATCGATAAATTTTCAAAAAGTTGTTTATTAATAAATGGCAGCAGCCTGATGAATATCTGGAGGCCACTAGTTCCAAAGATAGGGTATAGTTGAATAAGATGGAAGGAAGTGTGATATAACAAAGGTGTAAAAATAAGACCATGAGCTGTCAGACACTTGCTCACTGTAGCCCAGTATTATCTGTTCTTGCCTTTTCTAGCCTGGTGCCCCCCAGATGTTCTGAACCATACTTCCTATTAGCTCCAGCCAGCAAGGCCAAAGGTCAGGGATGATTAGTGCTGTTGTTCAAATCATCTGGAGGGCACAAGGTTGGGGAAGGCTGATTGATTCTGACTAGCAGTGGACCTCCAAAAATTTGAAGCAGAATCTCCTTTTCCAGGCCTGATATCTGATCCTGTTTGCAGATATCCCAGGGTCTGAACTTAGAACTTTTTGCTTGTATGCCCTGCCACTAAGCCATGACATCATAAGAATTGCAGTGGCAATACCTGAGACAAAGACATTTCCTTCTTTTGAAAACTTTCCTTTCAAAGCCTTATCTTCCATGTTTGTGTACACTTGTCTTCTAAGGTCAGGCACATCAGAATAACTGAATAACAGGATCCCAGAAGCTATCCTTATTAGCATGCATTCAGCTCTTCGGGGTGTTTTTGGCTGTGTTACTTTGGGCTCGTTAACTTAGCAAGTGGTCATTACTTAGATAGTTTTATCTGCAATAATTGCTTAAGTGTTGTCATCATTTAGCATTTGCTTGTGGGTAAGTTCCAATGAAGTACTTTCATTTCTC